CCACTTTAGGAGTAGTGCATGCATGCCTATGTATATCTATAATGTGGTCTAAGCTGCTTTGTCTGAAGGTGGCCAGGACTTGTAGTACTTAGCGGTGTTTTCATGCGACAGTCGGCACACAGAGTCCCTGTGCCGCAAGCTCGCGTTCTGTGAGGATGGCTCTAGCGGTGTGGCCCAGTGGCCCAACCACCGGTCTGTTGTTTCTGCACAGAGCTAAGGGCCGGGATGGTTAATATAACTGGACCACATTGCCTGGAGACCTACGCTGCAGAACCGTTCCATCTCGAGTTCCTAGACGCACCCAGAGTGTGATGCACGGCATGCCTGCCCTCTGGACTTTCAGTTTCAAGTCGTGAGGGCTTGCGTGCAGGCACACACATGCGCGGCCGTGTCGGGCCCGTTTCAGGGCAGCGAGGGTCCGTCAAAACAAATAAACCAAATTAACATAAACCTGTCAGGCACACGCAAATCTGGAGAATAAGTGCAGTGGGGGAAGCTCGCGCTCGAAGTTCCATTGCCCCAGGTTCCCGACAAGTTTTCGATCATCCCGACTGCTGGACAAAAAGGCTGCTTCTGTACAGTTTACAAGTAAAAGCAACAGATTCCCTTGGATGTGGACTTGCTTGGACGATGACTCAGGCCATCTTGCCTGCCGGGCGTCCAGTTCGGCTGTCCACGCTTGGAGCTCTGCACATCCTTCTGGGTTTAACGGCGCTTTTGGATTTTCACGTTAACTTTTCTTGCTGTGCTGTCCTCCATTCTTGCACAGCTTGCACAGCTCGCAGTGGAATGTAATTGTTGCAGCCTGCAGAGGTCTACAGCAGCTCGGAGCAGGCTTTTTCCGCTGCACACTTACACATCGCAGCTTTTGCACACGCTGCAAGGGTCAACGTTCCTGTTGCGCACGGCACAGAAGAGTCAAGTTAGGGTACGATATCGTAGCCGATTGCAGTCGCACCAGCACCTCGGCACAGCGACCGCAGCGCCCCTCGGTGGCCCCAACCTCAGGCGGAGTGGTAACCCACGTCTTCAGGGTTCCATGCGCAGTGAGGTCTCGAGCAGGACCATGAAGCCCCTTGGCTGAAGATGTCTTGCTTTGACGTCCGGGGCCAAAGCCTTTGAGAAGCGCTCTGTGAATCCAAAGACCTGAGCACACCGAGCCTGAAACTCTTGCACTAGTGAAGCCCGAAGGTCCTGTGTGTTTGGAAGTGCAATCTAGTTCTCAGCCAGCCTTAGTCGCTAAAGACTGCATGCAGGCTGCATTCCATACGCATTCGACAAATCTCTCCACCTGTGGTGGCCCAGCCCTGAGTCACGCTCCCTGCGTTCAACCGACTGAGAAACCGGTGAGATGTTGGTGTCGGGTAAACGGGTAAGCCGATTTGGGCGTTTGATTCTCTTCAAGCCGGTAGCCTCCGAGGATCTGTCCGAGGTCTCGCTCGTTTGAATTTTCGTTGTGTGCTGTTCGGTAGGGAGAAGCGCAGGATGAAGGAATCACGAAAGAAATCCAGGCGCGAGCCGAGGAGAGCATTCGCCGGCTGCGGGCTTGGAGGTCTTGATTCTGAGAGCACCGAGTGATACCGAGTGTGTGGCTGCCTAAGCAACAACGGCGGTGCTTCATCCCGATGGGCTGCTCCTCGTGGCACATGTAAGGAGCAGCGTCGTCAGGAGATTCAATCTGAGGCCTTCAGTCGTGTCCTCTCGTCGGCCGTCCACGGCATTGGTCTCAACGTTGTGCATGGAAGGTCGGGACGTGCAACCCTGGTCTGTTGGCAATATTGCTTCTAAGCCCTCTCTCACATTGTTGTTCGGATTCTGAGATGAAGCCAGCAGAGGTCGGACCGGAAAGTGCAAGCTTCGTCCTTCAACTCTCCCATTGGCTTTCTTGCTCGAGCATCGTGGGACCAGAGTAGATTTCGGAGGCCCGAAGACCGTGCATAGCACCTTGGGCTTGGAGTCCATCTGCTGTTACACTTAGGGCATCTATGCCATAGAGCTTGCGGCAACTCATTCCCACGCAAAGCACAGAAGTTCCATGGATTGATGGCCCAGGAAATTTTGCGACATGGCAGACATCAAAGTCGACCCCAAAGATGGCTTGGCCGTCCAAGATTTATCTACGCTTGATGCCGCCTGGCGGCTGGATCGGGAGGGAGAGAGGGAGAGAGCTAGATTATGATATAAGAATAACAATAATAGCAATAAAAGTACTATAAATAGTATACTAATATGACTATTATTAGTAGAGAGAGAGAGAGAGAGAGCGTTCTTTGGCACCCGCAACAGTTGGGGGCGCACTTGCGTGCGGTGTAGGGGGAAACCTGAGCACCACAACCCTGGCGAAAGAAAGAGAGAGAGAGAGAGAGAGAGAGCGACAGTCCCCTAAGCCCTTTGCAAGAAGAGAGAGCGAGCCCAACTGTGTCACTCCGCTCTGAAGTCCCCCAGCGCACGAATCCAGAGCACTCTCACTGTCCCTTGGCTGTGCTGAAGAAGTGAACAGGCACAAGCCAGGACCCCAAGTCCAATGAAAAAGAGGCGGAAGAAGAAGAGATAGATGAAGAGAGAGTGGTGAGTGGTGTTGGCGTTTGCTGTGCGGGGAACCAATGCTTCCGCAGCGCACCCATGCCCATCCAACATACACTGAAAGCCAGTTGGGGTAGCGCACAGCACAGGGCACGAGGACTGCTCGCAGCTGATGCCAGGAAGGAAGAAAGTGCGAGCGAGCAACGCAGGGAGGGAAGGAGGTAAGCGAGGCAGAGGGAGAGAGAGCATGAGAGTGCCGTCAACAGAGGGCATGTCTCCAGGCCGGGGCTCCTTGCGAAAGAAGGCCCATTGAGCCGAACAGACCAGAAGCACTTGTCGGCTTCCTTTCCTTGTGCCCCTTAGAGGAAGAATGATATGAGGACAGCTTGCGAGAGCTCGCGAGCGAGAGGGCTAATCCGGGATGTGCACTGGCGCGTTCGGGTTGACCGACCCTTCTGAACCTGTAGCAAGAAGGCAGCGAGAGAGGAATACATGTTTGGCACGGACGGGCAGGCTGCAGCCTTGAAAGGGCCTAATTGGCTGCACGCACTGCGCACACGTTCAAAGTGCCGATGAGCAACTGCGCATCCCAGGTCACCAAGCTGACGCCCCTGACTCCGGAAGTCATTAGCAGACAGGCAACGATGAATGCCCCCAGGCCAGCATGAAGAGTGGAATACGCTTGGCGGAGGCCCCTGCTAACTAAGCATGAACAGTTCGACGCAGAGGGCTCCCTTTGGTGTTCCAGCTTCTGTGAAAAGAAAACAAAGGTGAAAGTCCAAAGGCCGACAGTTTAAGATCCAAGGTTGGCACTATCGGCCATGTTGCCCACGGAAAGTCCACTGCAGCTTGATTGCATGAGGCCACAGTGACTTGGTTTTTGCGCAAGTGTCAACGTTTGCCCAGGTAGTGAAAGGCCTTTCTGGCACGCACACAGTGAAGTTCAAGGCGGAGAAAGAGCGTCGCTTGTCACAGACTTCGGGTGACTCGGGTCTGTTTTCCGGGATCAGGATTTCAAACTTCTGTTGACTAGACGTTGTGAACTTTGTAAATTGCAAGCTTGGGTTACCGTTTGCTTGTTCTTTCGTGTGACAGCTTCGCACAAGAAAGCGGTGCGCCTGAGCTGGTGCAAGGTAACATTACCATCAAGTTGGGCTACGCAAACGCGAAGATCTACAAGCGCGATCCTGGAGAAGGTGATCAGGACCTGGGACACCGCTTGAAGAGATCGCTGCGCCTCGACACCCCCTGACCGGAGGTTCCCTCCATAATCCAGCCTTCGCCTGCGGACGAAATGACATGTGCAAACGAAGGAAACATCAAAGATTTGCAGGACCATCCGTACTGGTCTGGTGGTAGTTCCACGCCAGATGTCGTCGACGACATGAGGCGGGACCACTCGAGGCAGTGGATTCTCCACCCCCTGCTGGCTTAGAAGCTTGCCGTGCCATGTATGTAAGTTGAATGTAATGTCAATACGCAGCCTCCCCCCCCCCCAACTTTCCGCACTTAAGACAAAAACCGACGCGACGACATGTCCGCGGATGATATTGACTGAACTGCACTGGCGTTCCGCTTGGTTTGGATCAGGCTGGTTCGCCATGTTTCATTTGTGGACTGCCCCGGACACGTTCCTTGGATTTGCAAGGGGAAGTCATGCGAGTAAACGTCACCGGAGTCCAGGACGCTGCGTCAGTTTTAAGAAGATCGTATAGGATGTGCATGCCCAGCAAATTGGTCGGCAGAACTTCGCCCAAGGATATTCTCATGGCCACGATGCTTAACGGAGCTGCCGTCATGGATGCAGCACTCCTAGTTATTGCAGGACTGGCCGACGTGCGAGTTCCCTTCAGGTGGTGCAACCTTTCCGGTCGCAACAACCAGTTTGTTTTTAAATTCAATCGTTCTCGGCCGGAGTTCGAGTTTTCTCTTATCCACATGCTTGTATCCCTGCAGCAGGAAACGAGACGTGCCCACAGCCCCAGACTTCCGAACATCTTGCAGCAGTGGCATCTCGCTTGGCAGATTTTGTGGTTCTATGCTTCGGCAGCGTGCCACTGAATCAGCGAGATAATTGCCGGTCACGAGCTGGGTGAATGTGTCGCAGGTATTCGTGGCCAGCACCGGTACCAAGATTACGATTTAGCTTTATGATGTATGTGTTGCAAGGAAATCATGCGGCTGAAGCACATCATCATCCTTCAGAACAAGGCACAGATGCGTGTAGCACACTGTGGGTCTGCACTGGAGGGGCCATATGTTGCAAGGCTTTGGCATTCCACTAATGTCCGATGAAACAACCTCTGGTAGCTTCCAAAGGCTTCCGATCACACAGGTAAGCTTGCGGCCATGGCTGCACCCAAAGTGCGAAGCACAAGCCCAAGCTCAAGAGTCCCAACAGTTTCCGACTCCAATCTCTTCTCTGAGCTCCGTGATTTTCCAGCTTGCATCCAGGTCGAGCTGACCAAGCAGCAGGAGGCCGAATCCAGGTACGAAGAGATCAAGAAGTTTGTGGCGGGAACGGCAGCAGCTTCTTGGCCAACGAGTAAAGAATCTTCGAGGTCGGAGTGTGTTCTGTGAGCCCTGGGCGTTCTGCACGTCTCCGCCTCAGGACAGTTCGCCAATCATTCCCATCAGCCACTTGGGCAGACTTTCAGATGCTTGGTGCCACCTTGCTTGATCCTGTGGTGGTTGGACTAGCTGTCTATTTCTGCCTTCCGAGGCATGTCGCCCGAGTCCTTTCTCTTTCTGCGTGCAGTCGGTGCCCAGGTGCTGTCTTGAAGTACAACCTGGATGTGATTTGTGACTTGCACCAAGCCGGCGTACGAGGTTGATTTTCTGAAAGCCCTTGAATTCCATAGTTGTGCAGCAGTGAAACAGCCCAGACGAGGGCCGGGGCATCGTCCCGAAAGGGTCTGACCCGGCTTGTCGAAGAACCTCCGATTTGACGCCGGAGCTTCAAAACTATGCTCGCAGCTGTCATCCGAAGCCAAGGTGAATACTTGTGCACGCAAGTGCCGATTCCACCTCGGGACTTTACGTCGATGCCGGTTATGATTATCATCCGATCCTTCGACGTCAACAGGCCGACAGACATCGAATCCAGATCTCTGTAGGTTGAAAAAATGTACTGGTATGGAGGCTTTTGGTGGACAAGGAAATCTCTGCAGTCTGTTTGCATTACTCAACTGTCGCCGACTTCATCTGGAAACAGCCCGACATAGGGACTTGTGAACAGTGGCTTTACCAGTGCGCAGGGCCTTGGCTCACGAGCCTGCCTGAAACCCCTGTGCACAGGCCGGGTGAGGAGGTGGCCAACCTGAAGGGAGGTGTCGCCGGCGGTTCCATCCTGAAGGGGGCTTCTCGGTCTGCCCTCAAAGAGGCTCTAAGCCCCCACTTACGATTGCTTTTGAGAGGTATGCACACCTGGTCACATCTGAGGTCTTGAAAATGGGAGATGAAATCGCAGCTTGCTTGCTTCATACTACATCGGTGTACCGAAATCCCCGGCCGAAGCTTCACAGATCATCCAAGGAGATTAGGCCTGGCATCGTCACCAAAGACTCAAGCTCGGACAGCGTCCAGTGCCGTCCGATCCGCTCGCGCCTCTTGGTGTTGACAAGTTCATGTTTGGGTAGGGGCTGTTCGTGTCTCTGTCTGTCGGTCGGTCGTTCTGTGTGTCTGTCTGTGCGTGTGTGGGTAGGGGGAGGGGCGGAATGTGGGTGTGTGCCTGTCCGCCTGTCCATGTTTTCGTGCGTCTGAGACTGTGACGACTAGTGAACGAGTGTATGTCAGTTTGTGCCTTGCAGGGACATCCAGATTTTCTGTGTAGCTTGATGCCCTTCTTTTGCCTGTAGCTGATAGTACCTGATTGATCCAGTGCCACATCTATCGGCGATAGCTTTCACGTTTTCCCGCTCCCCTCTCTCTTCCCACATGTTCGTGTATGTGTTGGATCCAAGGGATTATGTCCCTGCTTGCCGAGCAGAACGCGCTCCAGTTCGCAGTGCCGGGAGGCCTCATTGGAGTCGGCACCAAGATCGACCCAAAGCTGACCCGTGCCTGGTTCGGCAGATGGGGTTTCGGGCTCCGGATCTAAACGAAAGCAACGTCACGGGTCACCGAATTGTCCTGGACTTCTCGCGTAGACGCAATCGACAGCGAGTCTCATTGTCTGACCGAAGAAGACTCCCAGGCAAGCCTCACATTTAGTATGCTGCAGCCGTCCCAGGTGCAGACAAGCTTGTGGGGCATGTGCTCGGACATCCAGGCAAACTTCCAAGCCGCCGGGCTACAGACCATAGACGACAAGACAGATGCAGCAATTCGCAGCAAAGGTCAGAAACCCCAGCTACTGCCGCATGTGTGTGGTTGTACATGAACCCTTAAACCCCTAAATCCCACCTACACCCCAATGTCCTGGTCCCGCTAGCCGGCAGACATGAGAGTTCCAACGGACGGGAGCCCAGGCATCTACATTGAGATCGAGGCCGCGGCAGTAAGTGTTCATCAGTTTGTTCCCCCTAGCTCCATCCCTTGTGCCGGTGCGTGTAGTTCGCTGTTCAAAGCTTTCAAGCTGATCCTGAAACCTCCCGCAGTCTCAAGGTCAAGTTCTATCTCCTGCGACGACTGCTAGGAGTCAAGACGGATGGCGATGGCAAGGCACAGTAGCAGTCAGACATTAATTGGTTGCCCACTGTAGGGTATCTTCAATCGGCGTGTTAACAATCGTAGCTTGTTTTCGGAATCCATATGCTCAAAGCTACTGGTGACAGCGCATGCGCGCCTGCCGCTGACCAGGTCGTTCTCCTACCGTTGATGATATAAATTCTGCATTACCCGTAAGAAGGAATATACCATAATTCCCATAGTTTAGGGTTCGGAAGGTCATGCAGGATTTTTATCATCAACCGTAGTTACTAGTCACACTGAATTGGCATGCGCGAATCGCTGCAGTATGCAGCAGTTCTTGGAGGCTGGGAAGGTGGCCAAGCTCAAAAAGGGCGAGATCCTCATGGTCGCACGGCTTGACTGAGACGTCGGACTGGATTGAGCATGAATCGCTGACACCTTTTGAGATCTTTCTCTGTGCAGCCGGAGCAAGCCCATCCCAGATTGCATGAAGCAGCTTCGGCTTAGGTAAACATTGGATCTACCGCAGCAGGCGGAAGAGTGCACCGGCGCAGTTTGAATGGAGTTGCCACTGCATGCCTGCCAACTGCAGTTGTCAGAACGTCTCACAACATCGCTACCAGAACACTGCAGCAGCCAGGTACTGGGCATCAAGGATGACAATGACTACGCCAGAATCACCCTGACACATCCTGCATCTTGCCCACAGTATTTATTGAGTCTATCGCTGGCCGAAGTCAAGAAACGGAGATGGTAGACAAAAGTTACAGTGCAAATTCGGCACTGAGTGTGTCCCGTCTTCTCTTACAGAAAAGAACTACTGTATATAATGCATGCGGTGACTGCTTGCGCTGCTACTAGTAATTGACATAGTTGAGACATTGAGTAGGGAGTTGAAGACCTGAAAGCGAGGTGTGCACACAGGAGGGCGACAAGGTTGCCCTGAGCCGCAGGACGGTCACGGTGGCCATAAGTTTCGAGCTGGCTTGTAAGTTCCACCTGCACTACCACAAAATGCCACAAATGTCGGAACTGCTCGTAGGTTGCAGACGGCCTTTTAGCACCTCAGAGCTGCTCAATAGAGCCACGAAAACATGTATGCATTCGTGCTCTGCCTGCAAGCACAGTCAGCTCCACGACCGTGACACATGGCAATTCACCAATGCTGCTGCTCCAGGATTGACAAGCACTGGCGTCTCATTGGCTGGGGCACTATTGCCAAGGGTTCGACCATCAAGCCAATGAGTTAGAGATGCATTGCGCCGTCCGAACGTTAGTGGATCTTGGGCATTTCTGCAGCAATCTCGAAGGTGACCTTGAGGACATGCAGGTTTCTTCATCGCTCCTCCCGAGAGTGCTGCAGGTTTGCCAGGATTGCAGTTGAAACTCTGCAGTCCACCATTGTGTCAGACTCCATCAAGGAAGCCGCCTCTCTGAGGTTCCCGAATCTGCCATCATGGCATATGATAGCTACTATTATTTATTTTATTATAGTATGTTATGATATATTATTGTGGTAGATTATGGCATACTATGGTCAACTTGTGTAGGCACAAGCTTAGCCCGGCTTCCTGGGCCACAGGAGCTCTCTGTTGCGACATGCAGTGTTGCGGCTGTTGCGGTGTCGTCACCGTGCAGTCGTTTTTGTGCTCATGTGGAGATGTAGAACGTCTGCCCCGCCTAACCTTACTGAACAAAAGCGCATCGGTGCGCCCTGCCGGTGAACCAGTGCAGAGCGTGGGTGTTTTGAGCAGTTCACTGTGCGCAGTGGGGCTGTCTTGTTCATGCCGAGGTCAGCAATGCTTCCGTCACGCGGGTGTGTCACGGCTCTCTTGACGCGGCCTCAGCCAGTCCGGTGGATTTCGATTGCCCCACCGACCAGCCCCGTCTCTTCTGCAAAATCAAACGGACGATGACCTTCACGAAGCTCCATGGCTCAGGAGGCATCCACTCGCACCACGGTTCTGGGTAGCAGCCTGGTCTGCAGCACTGCAAGCGGCCGGGGCCCATGTCGATGCCTGTTACGACTCGCGCACGGCTCCTTTGCCATCTTCGAGGCCGCTCGATGTCCCCAGTCCAGCCCTGAGCCGCTCATGGAAGATGCCTGCAACGGTTTCAGGATGCCAGTAAGCTGCTAGGTGAGGCTCAAGAGGCCACAAAACTTTTGAGAGCGCTGCACAAGATGTTCGTTTGCACCAGGTTTGGATTGCACGCGGCATGGCGGAGGAAAGCCTGGCATGTCCTTGGCACACAGGGACATAGCTGACAGGGAGACTTGACAGGGAAATGGACCCCACTTGTAGGCCAAGCGCCACAGCGCGGTGCCGCAGTCCCGCACCACCTCGCCGCAGCTGGGCTCTTCCCTGCGGTCTGCGGCCTCAGAGGCGAGAAAGAAGCAGTGGTTTGGGCCTGTGCATGGTTCCCGTTCTCTGTGAATGGCTTGCGCAGTGGTGGGAGGTGAAGCGCGCACCACTGGCGCCGTTCAACTGGCAGGTGTGCTGGATCTCCATGTGGGTATGGCCATCGGAGACTGCCGGTAAACACATGACGGGCTGGAATCTCTCGGATAGTCACGATGATTCGCAATGCAACCTTCAGATGGGCTTCCTTCCTGGCTTGAAGCAGCTTCCCAAGTGTTCAAAATGGCTGGTTCAAGGATTGCAGATGCTTCCCTCGATGCGAAGATGACCCCGCAGTCAAGAAGTGGCAAAGACAAAGCAAACGACATGTGATGCACAGGTTTCCAAGCTCGGGAAGGATGTCACCAGTCTGGCTACGCGCACGGTGAGGCCACCCTCAAGATCAGAAGAAAACCACTGTAAAAGGAGAAGAAAGTCATTTTCAAGACAGAGCGTCATCTGTGCTGGCATCCACCGAGTCCATTACTTCAGAAACAGAGCTGTGTCTTGTAAAATTCCGACTGGCAGGATGAGGAGGTAGGGTGCGGCTCGGGTTCAGGTGGGCTTCACAGGTGACAGGGTGTTGATGCTGAACATGCCGGAATGTGAGTTGCAGCAGCTTCGGATGTCAAGCTGCAGCCGCGACATAAAAGAGAGTTGCCTCGTCAGCACCCGCTCGGCGGCATCCTCTGCACCATCATCTTCATCAACACCCATTGTGCCCTTGCCCAGGACCTCAGTTCGGCTCCTTGCAAACTGCAGTGTCCCTACGCAGACTGCGACGCGATCGGCAGTTCGTGTCTGAAGGTCCGGCATCTCACTCCCCATGACCAATGAGCAGGCCGTGTGCAGCTATGCCGCCACACACGACTTCACGCAGAATTCCATGAATTTCTTGACGGCCCCGCCGGACATAAGTGGGCTCGGCTCTTGTCTTGCCGGCCACATGATTTACCCCTTTGATTACCTGAGCACGTCTGCTGAAGTACATGTACGGTATGCGAGAGTATAATATGCATTGATGATACAAGTTGATAGTACTCGGAATGGGTTTTGGAATAATGTATCCCGCTCACAACGGCCGTTCACATCCGGGCAGCACACTGCCCAAAGTATCGCGCTTCTCCCCACCTTCTCATCCCCGCGCCCACATGGTGAAACTGCTGACTGATTTTGGGACTGGGATGGTGCATAGCGGCCAGGCGTCAGACATGGCTGAAGCTGTCGGTGGCATCACTGCAGGCGACAGTCAGTCCATCCGATCCATGCGAGTTGCATGGGCATGTCCGAGAATTCACTTGACAGACAGAAATGAACCGGACAGGCAGAAAGAACGTCCGATTCTGTTCGAGCCTTGATCTTGGGGTGATGGCAACCTTGCATCGCCCATGCACACAGAAATTGGCTAGATGCGTACCGGGTCATTGGGCCTAGAGCAGGACATTCTAGCTGCACCCAGGTCCGGAAGAGGCCTTGGATAAGAAGGCATATCTCGAGGAGGCGGTCGTAATCGGTGTCGTAGTTGTGTGCCGCTTTGGATGGCGCTCCAGCCTTGGTTTGCTGTAGGAGAAGGTGGCAATGGCCGGAGAGAAGCCGCTGGCAGCAGGACGCACGCCAAGTTATGGAGGACTCGACCGTACGCCGCCGACATGCAGTACGAAATTCGGAGTTTAACTATTAGCTAGCACTAGCTTTACTAATCGGTACTGCAGTGTGTAAGTATAGCATACAACGAAACTGTTGGGGCAGGAGCGTGATCGCTCACAGAGCTTGGACTACATGGCCGTGACTCAGCGGCAATGATTCGATTTGCCGGCGCGGACAAGTGACCAGACCAAATGAAGCTTGCGCACTACGAGGGCCACGCAGCCAAGTCAGTAGCTCTTTGGATTCCCACAGCCAGAGGTGTTGACATTGGCATGATGGCAGCTGCACAACTAAGGCTGCATCGCAGCGCCCAAAGCTGCTGCCGATAGCATCGAACTGTTTTGAGCTGCAGTTGCTGGTTATGGCTCTGTTCCCTACTGGGAACTTTGCACACACACCACTCCGCAGCAGCAAGGCGACACAACGACAGTGATTGGTACTTGACAGGAAACCAGACCGGAATTTCCATCAACATGGATTGGCATGTGCCTTCGAAATCCCAGCCCCTCAATTTATGACATCAGAAAGACAGCTCGTGCAATGTACCTCTCACAAGTAATTCATAATTCCCATCGAGACAATGCCCGTCACGTGCGGCGTTGGCTCTGCATCGGCGCAAGGTCGCAAGGTAAATTGCGCACAAGTCCGGGGTGCTGCGTGGAAAACGGGCTTCAAGGGCTGACTTATGCCTTGCAGCTTTCAGCATCTTGAGGCAGGGTGCCTTCAGAGGGAGAAGCACAAACTGTGCGTGTTTTTGGCTGCCATCCTCGTTGCACGATCTCTCTGAAACGGGTAGTGCATGCTTCGCATGGGTAGCTTCTGAGGTTGGTGAACTCTGCTTGCAGTTGCCCGGTTGAACCCCCCCCCCCCAGCTAGGCATGGCAAGAGCGAATAAGTTCTTCGTATGCCGGAGTCCAGACACCGCATTCCACCTTATAAGCCTCGGCTACTCACGACAGATCCCCATGCTTGGACGGCTTCAAGGCACCGTCCGATGCAGCGAAGGTTTGGCCCAAGTGCTTGAACTTGCGGTAGCCTCTCCAAATTGCTCTGCAAGGAACTCTCCCCAGTTTCATGACTGAAGGGCCGACAACATTTCAGTACGCCTGGGTCGAGGCCGACCCGACCAGTCAGGCGCTTGTTCCTTCGAGCACGTGGTGGTGGAGCCAGCAGTACACAGCTGCAGGCATTGTGAAGCACTTGGGACATGTCAATTCCCCGCACAGCCTGCAACTGTACATCAAACATGGGGAGGACGACCTCTTGATTCAATGCAGCTCTGCTGCTTGCCATATATCGCAAAAAAACAAAAAACGTCGCGTTTAGTGCTAATACTGAGTGTTAGGTGGACAAGTCCATCAGCCTTTCGATCTCCAGGTAGTTTCGTCACGAGCTTTCATATGACACAACCCTCTGCTTTTTTTGCTTAGGGCCTCGCTCTGTCCTGCAAAGCCGCGACCCATGTGCCCGCAGGAAGCTTCATGTGCGATGCAGTACTTGCCGAAACTAAGGTTGCGGCAGCCTGCACGTGGCTAGAGGAAGCCTTTTCCCGGGAGATTTGTTCCGGTCAAGAGGAGCAGCAACCGGCAAGATCCTCCAGCTTGGGGAGCGTCCTGTTTCTTGGACCTGTCCTTTTGGCTTGTTGTCACTTTTTGTCTCATTGAACGTCTCCGGTAGTTTGCAAACTCGGCAGGTTTGGCGTTTGCAGCCAGCCGTCTGTGGCAGAAGACTTTGTACCCGAGAGTGGCCCGAACGAGTCTCCACAGGCAGGAACAGAAGCCGCTGAAACTTCTGCAAGGCCCCGCGATCTTGGAGATTGCCTCACGCATGATCAGACTTCAAAGCTGCAGTTTATGCATGGCGACCTCTACAGCCAGTTGGCCCGTCACAACCCCTGGAGATGGAGCTCCTTTCGAAGCCCTGAGCAGGCGGCGAAGGAATTGGATGAACAGCCACGGGCACGGAAGGTCCTGCTCCGAGTGGCATCCTCCACGCAGAGGCTGCAGAAGATGTTTCCAAGCCCGGCATCTGCAGCAGTCTGGATTCGCAGGAGATTGGTGAATTCCAGCGATCCAGCTCTGGACGAAGAACGATTATGCGTGATATGTCTGACGCAGCCGCGTAACGTGCTGCTCATGCCTTGCCGCCATGCCGTGCTGTGCGAGGAATGCCTGGAAATCATCATGCAGCGCAGACCCAGCGAGTGTCCAATTTGCCGGAGAGCAAGCAAAACACACACTGAACACGTTTTTAATTCTTTGATTGTTTCTGTGAGTGCCACCCGCGTAGGCAGTATGCGCAACAGACAGCAAATGCTGACAGGAGGCGTATCCAGAACCATGCACGGGGCCGCTTCATCGACGACTATGTGGAGCTAGTTTTGGCCGCTGAGGCTCGCATGGAGCTTTCACAACTGCAGGCCTATGAAGGCATGTACAATCACATTCGGCCTCTTATGGTCACCGGTGCCTTGCTCGCATCTGGAGCTGCAGCTTGCTTTGTGATCGCCCCTCCGCTGGCACCTGTAGTAGCACCAGCATTGCTCACCGGCGCCACTGTGGTCGGGTACTTGCCCTGGCTCGCAACCACTGTCGCGCACTTCGAGAGTGAGGACATGGCCGATTCAACACTCCAGAACCGCATTTTCTCACAGGAGGACTTCTCAAGCCCTCTCACACTTGCAACAAAGTCGGCAGTACTCCTTGTGGCAGCACCAGTCGCTGGAGTGGTATTCTTCCTCCCCTATGGGATTTACGCCGGAGTGCTGCGTCCGCTTACACGGCTGACGCTCCAAGGGCTCGTGAGAGCTGCCTGCCTAACGCATGTCTATGTCCTAAGGCCTGCGGCTTCAATGGCGGCAACTGTCTGGGAGTTTCTTTCTGGCACAGGAAGTGCATTCGGAGATGGGTTCATGGCCTTCCTCCAGTCTCTATATGACATGGTGCTGTGCCCTCTAGGCTCAGGCTTGAAGTGGCTGGGACAGCGTTTCGTGGACGTGGCCCAGTGGACTTATCGAAGCCTGATTGTGCCGGCATGGAATGCCACTTGCTGGTTCGCAGAAGCTGCATACAAGAGCGTCCTTCTACCCAGTGCTCAGGCAGCCTGGAACGCGATTCAAGCAGCTGCTCAGGCAACTTACAGCTATGTTTTGGCACCTTCTGGGCGTGCCCTGGCTGCCATGGCAGAACAGCTGGGTGGAGTGCTGACCGTTTGCGCTGAAGGTCTCTACGCATATATCTTACTGCCCACAGGACAGGCCGCTTGGGCTGGCCTGAAGGCATTATGTTACGGACTGGGAGCCGCTGCACATGGCACCTATGAGCACATGCTGGTCCCCGTGGCGAGTGCTTTTGCATCTGCGCTGAAAGCTTTAGGACATTGTCTGGCATCAAGCGCAGAAGCTTTGTACGGATATGTTCTTCAACCTCTGGGAAGTGGCATCTATGCCTATGTCTTGGCACCTGCCTCCCTAGCCGCACGCTCTGTTGCGGGAGCTATCTGGCATGGAGCTGGCATGGCTGTACATGCAGTTGGTCAACTTGCACAAGTTGGCTATGCCTACGTCTTGGTACCGATCGGCCATGGCATACGGGCTACTGGCACAGCTCTTTGGTATGCATCCGGTGCAATTGCCGCCGCACTTGTCCAATTCGCGCAGGTTGGATATTCCACTGTGATCCGTCCCTGTGCGAAGCTTGGATTGATCTACAAATTGGTTGTTCTTGATGTCTGTGCAGTTTGTGCTTTCAGTGAGATTGAGAATTGGATCAACCATAAGATCCCTTCCACCACTGCAGGAATGCGATTATTGCCGTAGCTGAAGGCACCTACACAACCGTACTACGTCCATGTGGCCAAGCACTGGCTGCCGCTGCCCAATCCATTGGTCAGGCAGTGCTGGCAATTGCCCAGGCGACCTAGCTTCGAAGGGGATATGTATGAACACTGAACGCATTTAACAGAGGATGGCCGGTTCACGTTAACACACTAAATGTGTGCTCCCTGCGGCATAGGAAGAAATTCGAGGGCTTGAGGAAAAGATACTCACATTGTCCAGATTCTCAGGTAAGCGGCCATGTGGTATATGCCTATGTCATTTGCCCAGTCGGCCAGGTCGGCCTGATGCATTTGGAGCGACGCATGTCGAACAGGGTTCCTGAAAGCACATGTGAGAGAGTACGAAACACGCGGTTCATGTGATTCTTGGCCATGTAGAACTCCGAAGTGCCAAACTGCCAAACCGCTTGAAGCATTGAGTTTGACGAGGCCAGCCAGGCTGCTCTTCTTGCAGCGAGAGAGGCAGTGCAGCAATGCCATGCAACCGCAAGAAGCACTGGCCAAACCGTCCCCTGGTGGCCTTGGTGCTGTAAGAATACATTTTGTGTCGGCAGTTCCTGTAAGAGTGAGATCCCAAAGCCGAGGTCCGTGTCACCATTCAAAGTCTAGTGAGACGCTAGGCCGTACATCACTAGATAGCTGTGGCGGACAGGAAGACCGAAACCATGGAGTGACATTTTCCAGGGATTCCAGACAGCAAGCGTAGCTCAGAAGGCAGCTGAAGCTCTACTCGAAGATATGTAGCAACACTGTCCACTTGTTGCCTTGACCTGTCTGTGAGAGCCACTGTGGCAGCTTCGGTAGTGCAGCTTCCAATGTACAGCTTGGTCCCTACTGCACTACGTGACGCCAGTGAGCAAGGCTCATGGCCGACATGAAGCTGTCAGATTGAAGCGGTTGAAGCTTGCGTTAGCCTCGCATCACCCTGACAGTGGTTCACCGCTATGGAACAGAGAGGCTTCAGATCCGCGAAGGCTCTGCACGCGAAAGAAGTCTTGCCAAACGCTCTGCTGCTTTACGAGATGTTCGGAGTGCACAGTTCGCCACATTCGCTGCATGTCTGGGCAACTCTCGAGTGCTGCACACCGCGGCCATCCACGACCCGAGTCCTGGCAAAGACGGGGCTTGGCCATCTCCAGGCATCGCAGCGCAAACTTGCCAGAACCTGCACACCTGCGCAGCTTTCACTCGAACCGGCATCGCCTCATACCGCATACCGTACGAACTCGGACTACTTACCAACCACGACTCAGCTACCACAAGCTAGCAGAAACGAGTCGGCAAAGATCTGACTTCACGCTCCGGCAAGCCAAGCGTTGGCTGGGATGGGACTTCGCGGTGACTTCGCCTACTTGCTTCGGCGATACTGGACACTCGCCGCGTTTCAGCTTTGCCATCGTGCACCTCAGCAGACAGAGCTGTGCAGACTATGATTGTGCTCCCTGTGAGGTCGCTTTTCCTGGGCAATGTACTGGAATGGTATGAGTTTGCTGTGTATGGTTACTTGGCACCCCGGCGCGAAGATTAGTGGAGGTCAGTCTTCACTTTGAAGCTGCAGTACACCAACCAAGTGCGCAAAGGTGGTCACCCCACATGATCTCACATGCGCAACATCAAACTTCCGGGGTACTACCTAGTGTTCTCAGGTGCTTTCCTTGGAGGACAATTTCTTCCAAGGTTCCGAGGTTGCCACATGGCTCGGTCACTCGGCAAATGACTGTTGCTTTCTGGTGCACTGTTAGCGCCGGCCATCTGAAAGCCACCTATAGTGCGTCCCGTCACTGAAGCCAGATTTATTGCACAGGCAGGCGTGTGCAGCCATGGTTTCACCTAGGCTATGCTGCGACGTTTGTTGCACGCCCACTGGGTGGCCTTGTTCTGGGCCTTGCTTGGGTCTCAGTGCTCAACAGCTCAATGCTTTTTGTAATTAATAGCCTGCAAGTCCATGCACATTCTGCAGTCTAGAGTCTGTAGCTAGCTTAATGCGAAGTTTCATGTGTAGTTTGGCATGGGGAGCAAAGATGCCTGCTGAGATCGGTGATATGTGGGGTCGGCGCACATCTCTCACGGTTTCCATTGTGGGCATGGTCGTGGGGGCCCAAGTTGTGATCGATCCTCAATCGCAAACACACACACACACACACACAAACAGTGCGGATTGAGCATGACGGCACTGGCTGCTCTCCATAATTTTCTCATGTGCTTGTGAATCTGGGTGTTTCCTCGAGCAGGTCGGCACAGTTGGTCAGGGCCTGCTGCCCAGCCGTCTCAGCAGTGGCCAGGCGAAGCACAATTGCGCGCAATTTGAACTTGATTGTTTGGAGGGCTGTGTTTCAAGACCCCCTCAATTCTCCGACTCGGTTATCTGGCATCTGACATGCCGCTTCGCAAGTATTTTGGCGACTCGCTGAACGACTTGATGTGATGGTGCCAGGCGTGGGGCGAGTTCGGAACCTGCATGCTCTTTGTCTTGCGGATCGTGCAGGGGCTGTGCACGGGCGGAGAGGCACAGTGTTTTGCATTCGTGACAGTCAGCAATCGACAACAGTCAAGAAGGCACCAGTTGCTCACTGACCACCGGACAGTCGAGACTTGCACAACCAATTTGACAAGATGTTGTAGCTCGTGCCGAATCCACGCTCCTTACATACCCCTGGTCTCCGCGAGATCAGCACTGTCTCCACGTACATCATCGAGGCAGGTTTTCCGAAACAAGGCCAAGGCCGGATACCCAGAAAGTCAAAATTTTGCGAGTTGCAAAAAGGTGGGTTCCAAGCAGACTCTGGCCCGGAGCATGTCGCTCATCTCCGTGTCGATCTACATCGGCTTCCTGCTGGCGCAAGGCGCAGTGTGGCTCGTGCAGGACATGTTGCGCTCCTTCGAACCGAGTTCGAACACAGACCTATTAGCACTGCCTATCTACACCAGAAGTGCGACAAGACATGCCATGATGAATTCATTTATGCAACGAGAGGACCAGCTCGGCCCCGATGCAATGCGACAATGGGGCTGGCGGCTTCCCTTCCTCGTCGCCATTGTGCCGGGAGCTTTCACCATAGCAGGACATCCCGGGGCCAAATTCCCGAATTCCGCAGCAACGGCAGGCCGTTTTGTGTTAAGGCTCTCATGAGGGAGCTACGAGGTGCCTGGAGGCGAGAGTTCGTGTACCGCTCAAGGACGACGGTGCTTGCGCGAATCGGAGGAGTTTGAGAAGGACCGACGAGTCGCCATTGAGGAAGGTCTTCCCAGCATGTTTTCTCCCGTTCCGTCGCAAAAATTCTGAAACCTGAATTTTGAAACGCTTTGAGAGTTGCCGTCAGAGCAGGCCACGCATCAGCCAGCTATGCCATCAGGGACGTACTGCACAGAGGCATCGGAGTTTAGAGATCAGGGCATTCCAGGGTCCCTTCCTGCTTTTTGGGAGCGACGGGGAATTGGGGCTGGGCGCAATCGAGCATTGCATCTTCTTTGGTGCCTGCTGGAATGGATTCTTCGGCAATGCCTCGTGAATCTCGTGATTCGATTGTCACGCGAGTGATGTCTCTCCAACTGGAGCATGTGGTCGCAACGTTGGGTTACCTGACCATGCTCTCACCATTGGAATTCATGGTGGTTGAGAGTTCTGCTATATGTGTGTAGTTTGCCAGTACCGCACCCCAGCGAGCAGCAGTGTGGGTTGACGACCTGCTAGGCTATGCAATCGTCATAGCCATCGGCGGTATGGTGTCTTTTGCAGCAGCTCGGACAGTGTGGGATTGCAGGTTTATGTTCCATGCAAAGCATGATCGTGCCTGGCGCGGTAGAGTTCAGGGTTGACAAGCAGAAGATACGATTTTTCGATACACGGCTGCAAGCCATGCAGAACAACAATCAGCAACAGCTGTGGTGGATTGTGGGTCAGTTTATCGCGGCAGATGCAGCTTTCGCAAGCTGTTCAGCATTGAATCTGCTGGCGCGGGCTTCAGTTCTTCAGTGTTGACATTCAACCTGCCAACGAGGGTAGGAAGTCGGGCAATCCTCAAGACGAGACGTAGTTGTTTGCCTCCTGTGTGGGATTTCGAGACCGCACCCAGGAGCCCAGACAAGGCGAATAGCTAGGACGAAGGCGAAGCCGAGCGCTTTAAAGGCGAAATGAGTGCGGGACTGTGGCGCGAGTTGTTGAATTTCGTGAGCACTGAAGGTTTCAAATTGAAAAGGAAGGGGCGGCCCGACGGGACAACGGAAAGAAGTGTTAACATTTTGGCCGAGAATATGGTCGAACATGTAACGTCAATGCTCCGCAGCGGGAACTGCAGAACCGCCAGCAGCCGCTAGATTCGCGTTGACACCAACCACTCCCTTGTCACGCCTTACGCAAGAACCCCATAGTTGTACCACACTGCCAGGGGATGCAAGGGGAGCGGCAAGCTGAATTATTAGCTCTGACACATACTTCACTTTGCCTTACTTTGCAGGTATTTTCATACAGCGGCTTGGTGTGGACCAACACATTCTTGGCAAAAGAAGGACACGACGTTCTTCTTGGGATTCACAGGGACATGTGGCAGCTGCGCAGTCGGTGCGTGTTGATGTGAAGGTGCACACCTCATGCGCTGCAAAATGGCACTTGCAGGACTTCCAAAAGATCAGCGCATGATGGCGGGTCTGACAGCCCGCGTTATTCAGATAGTGCTGGCAGTGCCTGTGGGCTGGCTAGCAGACGTTTGGGGCCGCTTACTTAGCATTGCATGGCAAGGGCATCAACTTTTTGTTGGTACCAGAATGCCAAAGCAAAGGCGTCGGCTCAGTTACCTTCCTTTCGGCTGCAGTGCAGCTGTTTGCAGCTTTCCCGCTGTTTGCGTGGTTGCAGGCCTGGTATCTCAGCCGTCAGACTCATAGCTCGCTTTTGTGCCGAATAACTCGAAAGTTGTTGTGCTGGTGGCGCATGCCTCGTGAGGCAGATCCAACGAACACCTCGGCCTTCTGCCTGATATGACGGGTGGATAGGGGTCTTCGGATGCCCATGTTGTTTGCTTCCCTTCGTCGGTCTGCTTACGATCAATCCCTTCGCCACAGTATGGGAAAAGCCATCTGCCGAGGTTGCATATGCAGCCTATGCTGTTGGTCTCTTGGATCCGTGTTGTGTAACAGATAATGTGTGCATCCTTGCCAGCATGTTTTCACACATGAGTCAAAGCATAATATTTGTTTGTCTTGCATTTGCATTAAATTTTCCATGCTGCGACTTGTCCATGCAACCTTCCGCGCATCACGCCTCCAAAGGCTTCGGGATCATTGGTGCGCTAGGCGGTTCGACTTTCAACATGCAGCTCGCCAGCAGAAGTTCTCAGCTTTGGTCGGCTCTTTGGACTCCTCGACAAATCTGCCAGGCAAAGCAGGATAGAGCACGGCCGGACTGAGCCAGGTGGTGAGACAGGTGCACACACGCACACTCGCACGCACGCACACGCACACAGACAAACATGCAAGTGCCTGCTCCTCTCAAGCCATTCAGCGTGTCAGCGCTTGTGTGTCTTGTAGCAAATCGAGCACGGCATGGAGCCGTAGCCGTCAAGTGGCGGACCGAGGTACGTGACCGAGTTGTTCCCAACCCGCACCCGCAACCTGGGAGTTGGTGTCAGCCACTCGCTGCCGAACAGTGGGCGGGTTTCAGTCCGCAGCCCGCAGCCATGCATAGGCGCGTAGCGGCGTGGAGTGTAAACGCACATCAGTTCTCAGATGATTTTGGAGCTTCACTCTGGCCAACCGGTATCGAATCTGGCAGCCTGCGGGTGAGGTTACAACGTGGGCATTTGTCTCGTCGGTGGCTTTGGCCCTGTTCCTTGGACCAAATCGCTCGCCACGGTACTGCAGCGCACAGCACCTGAGCATCGCCAGCTTTGCTTTTCACAATGTGTTTCCACATTCTCGAGGCTGAAGCATTTACAGGCACACTTCATGCTATTGGTAGCTACTTGCAGGTGACCTGCAGTGCACTGCAGAAGTGGTCGAGGTATGGGCCAGGAGGCCGTGCCACCGGTGTGCAGTTAGACGCTAAGTAACCTGCAGAATCTAAGTATTCACTTCTTGGGCTAGAAGTCGATGAACACGGCCGAGGGCTCATTTTCTTCAGAATGGTAGCCCGTAGACACCAGAAGCAACCGAAGATTGGCCAACGTCGCTCGCCATCCAAGCTTCTACACTTCTACGTATTGTTTCTGCTCGCACGAGCCCTGCACGAAGGGGCTCTGATTCGACGAAGTTGATAAAGGCAGGTCTGTGGTTTAAACACACTGCTACAGAACAGGTTGTCCATACTGAACTACACACGACTCTCCCATCATGAATGTTGGATGCGATTGCAATGTCAACTCTGGGTGACGCAAGCCCCACGTGATCTCCTTGCCATGGTCAATGACACGACCCTTATTTGTTGAGCTACTGTCGTCTTTGCCTTCGCCCTGCAGGTCTCATGTCACTGGCGGGCGCCATCACATGTTTGTGACCCGGCTGTGCATTCTCGTGCCATGTTGTGTGGAGGTGGGGTAACGTTCGGTTCTCTCTTGCCTCCGTGGTGCATGTGCAGGGCCAAGGCAAAGCGTGGCTGCTTCCCTGAGATGCGCACTCATGCAGCCTGAAGATGTCAGGACGGTCGTAGCTGGAGTTCGGCTACACCAGTCCGGGAGGGTTTGCCACTCGGCGTTCGAGCAATTCCAAACAGCAAACCTAAAATTGAACTTCCCAACCCTGATGCAGCACAGCACCGTTTTGCATCCGGGTGTGGTGCCTGGACAGAGTTGATGATGACTGACGTGTTGCGCTTCGTTTGCTCGAATTCCGTGAGACAACTCACCAGCGACGCACGACCTGGGAAAGCCTGTCACATGCTTGCAATGCCCTTCGCCGATATTTGACAGATGCGACACAAAGCCTTGCAATCTTATCCGTCCGCATCCAACACATATGTATACATTGGCGCTTGACGGGCAAAAATATTTGCTGCTCAGGTATGGCCCACGTTCGCACGAATCCGTACTGCAGACCATGTGCTCCTTGGCTCAAGCTCTGGCTGTCGGGAGCGATCGAGGGCGGGCAAAGGGCTTCGAATCGGCAGTAATGTCTTCCGCATACATTAGAAGGTGAGACTCTGCCCGTGTTGCCGCACGACCTCATGTATTGAAAGAGCCGACAGAAGCCAAAGAGTCACGAGTTCCATGGCTCCCCTGCATGGCACCAGATTGGTTCCACTCACTGCTCAGGCAAACCTGCGAGAAGACGGCAAGCCTGAAGAGCAGTTCTCGTTGGAGTCATCAGAGTCCGAGACATCCGAAGAGTGAACAAAATTGATCTCAAATGCTCACCAGCAATGTTGCGTTCGGTCTGGTCATTCGCTGTAGTCGAAATCTGAAGAAGGCTGTGACCGGATTCCTGAGAATCTACTGTAGCAGTCAACCGACTGAGTCAACACATGCCGGCCATTTGCGTGTCGATGTTTCTTTTGTGGTTGGAGCCGCAGTTGGAGCCTAGTTCTCGGGCCATGGCTGTGTGAGAGCACAGATACACGTGAGTTCGATCGCGGAGTGCAGCCACTGTCACAGGTGCTTCAAGCGTGTCCATGTTCAACGGGTCGTGTCGACTTGGAACTTGAGTTAGCAGCCTCCAACACTTAAGTGCTTGGTCTCTCCCGGACTGTGTTGAAGCATGAGCTGGCAAGCACTCTGTACCTGCACAGAACCCCAGTCATCCCTGGCTTGTGGCTTATGCTTGGAGATACAGCGCCAGCTGCACAAACCTGAAGTGCCTTCGCTCTTTCCATGGATGGCCTGCCTCTGCATTGATGCAAGATTCCACGGAAGACGTCACGCTGAAGGCAGGGCTCGAGCTTGTCTACGCAGCTCAGCAGCTTCAGTCGCGACGCATCTTGTACGCTCAGAGCTTTCGTCGGGGATCACCGTTAAGAGCAAGCCCATGCCCAGCAATGGTACTATCAGGGCAAGAAGTAGCGAGTCGTAAGCACGCAGCGCTATTTCGGTTTGAAACTCGCAAAAGGAGACAGCTGGCACAGGTCTAGGCTAAGGAGGGTGCAGCAGTGCAACATCAGATGATAGTGGACGTCATCATATGTCATGAGAGTACAACAGAACAACACATACCATTGACATAGAGTTCGACAACATGATACAACATGACATACTGAAATACCGAAACACATGGTATAAAATAAGACAACATAAGATAAGGGACAACCGTATAGTCAAACATGGGATTGCTTTAAAATTTTATAAACTATGTTATACTATATTAGGACGTATCAAAGAAGCATCAGGGTATAATACAATGGGTTAGCGCACACTATGATGCAATACCCTATAATATCGAATAATATGACAGAAGCTGAAAAACAAAGTCGTTGCAATATATGGTCATGATATACCATATTCTCTTACATGCAGTAGAGTTCTATGATGCCTTGGTATACTGCACTAGAACATCCCATTTCATATCAGAGATTTTTCTACAATTCGACTAGGCGATACTTCATGCTTTGTCATAAGATGTCATATTCATATCATGTGACAGCATAGTTCATTGGGCCTTCGTTCTTTTATTATGTCATGTGGCATGTTTCAGTTTGTATGTTACAGTATGGCATGTGGTCTCTTTCGCGAATAGTGCATTCTATCCGAATTCGTGTGTCCATGTTACATTGCATTTATTATGATTGTTCTATCATAACGCTTTAGGTCACAAGGCTTTTACATCGTACCAGAATAAAGTATAAATACTGCACGGCATTACAACTTATCGCGTTACATGTTACCAGGTCTTACTATGTTATTATGACATTGTACTATACTACATCTTGCTATACTAATGTACACTATACCGTTCGTTTCATTGCTTGCTGTATGTTACACCACATTGAAGCGTTATACTGTTAAATCGTATCTCCTACACCGTGTATAGTATGGTACAGTACGGTATCGTATACCAACATAGTTTAGTTAGTGCCAGAGTATAGTAGAGTGTACTTTACTATGTTATATTAACCTGGGTTATGTTAGATCATGTCCTGTTAGGTCTGAGAAGCCTGCTTCTCGAATATTTTACTATGCTATACTATATGATATTTTTATGTTAGGTTATACGTATAGTAGCATATTACATTACATTATATGTTTGTAGCAAATGACGCGCAGGCCTCGTCGGGCAACCCGGAAGCTCTTCGGCCACACCACAGCACCCCCGGCCCCGGGCGGAAAGGACTGGCTGCACATGGCTGACAGTTCAGGGACTGACGAAGGAGGCTTGGTAGGTGGTTGCGATAGCATGGCTGCCAGGAGGAGGTCGAGCAGGCAACTGGCCGCCGCCGTTGCCTTTCTGGCAGTCTGATGAGGCCTGTTGAAGAAGGTATAGAGCTTCTGAGAACGCTTCGCAGATCTCAGCAGACAAGGGCCATGGTTGTGGCGAATGACTTCGAAAGCGAAGCAAAGAAGCTTTGGTTTCAGGTGCTGGGTGCCACTCCGTGGATTGAGGTGATTGCGCCGCCTGGTAGAGCCCTGGCTCAGCTCCAGGCACGGGATTGATAGGGCTGTTAGAGTTTGGGACTTCGAGGCACGTGGAACACAGGTGGCACAGGCTTTCGAATCGCGCCAAGGATGCCTCTCTTCGTACGGCATGTTTCGAGATGGATAGAAAGCTGTCTAGCACATGTTTTCCACACCGTTGCAGGTGGAACTCCCCAGAAATGGTCGAGCGGAGCCTTGGCGACCTCGGTGGGTTCTGGGCCAGTTATTGAATCTGACAGCATGCCACAGACTGCCGTCACGATTTTTCTCGATGAGACTTCAGCTTGGAGCAGAGATGTCAGTTGATTCCGGTGGAGTGGAAAGATTTAGCTCGGAGGCAGCTGGGGCTCGAATGCACCGGTGAACGGAGAGAAGGCTGACAGACGAGACACCAAGAGAACGAGAAAAGGTGAGGTAAGCAAGGGGTACAGACGGTCGACTCTTGAGGATGGATACACCCCGGAGCACGTGCAGCTCTTCGTGGCGCAAGAAGGCCAGTGCCGGAGGGAAGTTTCAAAAGTTACAAGACGCCAGGAACCCACCAGATACTGTACAGATGTAGTCCCATGTTAGTTTGCTGGTCGCAGTCTTTCCTCGAATCGGCTCCTGGTCTCGGAACTGAATGCCAAGTTGCGCGTGGAGTGGAGCTCGATCCTCCAGTTGCCCTCTTGTGCTCGCGTGTACCCCTCTCCACGTCTCCGTTTTGTTGATTACTCCAATGCGCAAGCATGTCGACCCATCATAGACGCCGTGTTCAAACATCACTCGCATAAGCCTCACCGGCCCATGCTACTCCTGCCTGAAATGATGGTGTCTTGGACGGCAATTTCCGAAAACAGATCGCAGAGCTTTGGAAACGCAATGGTCACACTCGCAAGAATTCCAGGTTAAAGAGCTTCTACAATAGCATGGCCAAAATGGCCACAGTATAGACGGGCAGTAAATCCAATACCCGTATGATGTTACAAAGGAGAAGCTTGTGGTTGTAAGACGATAGTGCACGAGTATTTCCTTGCATCTGGCGATAGTTCGATAGTTTGCATGGTGGAACATGGTCAACAGTTTCTGATCCTGGCAATGACGGTACTAGGAGTTATGGTGCCGATCAGTAGCGGCAACCGCCGCAGTTGTATAGTAATCATGACATTTTGTTCCAGCATGGCAGACCTTCCGACCAAGGCAGTGAGACACTGCCGTCATGATGTTGTAGGAATTGTCGAAGAACGCGGCAACTTGTTGTTCAAGTTTTGTTTCACTGCCTCAGCATGCTAAGCTATGCGCACGAATTCCCGGATGCTGAATTCGCATCCACAGCACAAACGTCGCGTCCTCACATTGGCAGAATACCGAACTAGCTCACTATAAACTATAGCCTCGAATGTGGGAGAGTGATAAGATGTGGCGAAGCATCTGCGAGCAGTCGGAATTCGTTGGCCGGAGGTGGCAGTGAATATATGCATATAATATATGTATGCATGTATGTATGTATGTATGCTTCTATATATATATATAGAGAGAGAGTACTTATGTATATATATGTATACATGAACACATATGTACAGATGTGTAGCTGTATACATGAATGTACGTGTTTTTCATGTATATTTCTATGCCTATATGCTTTTTGCAGACGTATATACATATCTATACACATATATATACACGTACATATGTACATATAATCTTATACATGTGCTTTTGTATGAATGCGCATGTTTGTGTGTAGGTATGTATGCATAGTTGCTGCCAACCCTACAAACCTCGCCTGACCTGGTCGAGCGCGGTGGTGCTAAAAATGTATGTCCGTATGTATGTGTTTGTTTGTTTGTTTTCAGGTGAGCAGCTGGGCGAAGCACCCATCTTTGAGTCCGAGCAGCCTCTCGACCACTACCCTAAACCCTAAAACCCTAAACCCTAAAAACCTAAACCCTAAGCCCTAAACCCTAGTGTAGCTTCATGGTGACCGAATGGTTTCGGTTTCGCTTTTAGCGGCCCCATTCTTCTGCACTGAGCTACTAAGAATCTAAGAAGGTACGGCCGAAGAGAGCCAGCAGCTGCTTGCGGAATGCCAAGGTTCTGGTCTCTGGCTTTCCCGGGGGAGATGGTCGCCGTTCCGCCAAAGCCGTTGCCGAACAGGAGCGCCAGCAGACATCGCAAGTCTCTACGGAGCGAGAAACTGAGTTCTTCTCGAAGTCGTAATCATGTGGTCGCGGTTTGGATCAGGATTTGCCGAGCTCGTCTCTGCATGAAGCGAGCAGCAGCACAAGGTGGTCCCAATGCGCCCCGGCACGAACTACTCCTTGCAAGCTGCAAGGCGAATTCTCGGGTCCAGCTGCTTTGCACCAAGGTGCGTATCCAGAGCCTTCGCGTGCTAACCAGGAGGCCATTGTTGACTCTAAGCATCCTGGCAGCCTTGTCCTTGACTCGCAATCGCTGAGGTTGAAACGTGGTCGAGATGACGGCGTGTTTCTGGGGAGGAAGTTGTGGAACGACACGGACAGGGCAGGGGGGAAGGGATTGCCAGAAGGTATTGCAGGGGAGTCGGACCCTCGCAGATCCCGGGACAACATGACATGCTGACTGAGGGCAAGGGGGGCTGGCATGCAGAAACCAAGCTGAGGGAGAGGCCTGAAAAAAGTGCCAAGTCAAGTGTTGGAGCTTTGTAGCACGGCGGAGATCTGTTGCCAGGACTTCACAGACTGCATACTGCGCTCGGAGGATGGCTTGGAGCAAAAAGCACACAAGGTGCAGCGGTGGGAAATAGGGCCGCTTGGAGAGAACAAACCACAGAAGCAAACAGCATTCTGTCTAGATTTCCTACAAGAAATCCCTCATTTATGCTAGGATACCTGTGGTTTCAACATGGGCAGGCCATTCTTGCAAACGCGTCGCCCGTCTTGAGCCGAATGCTGCGGTCTGCGACCAAGGCCTGCCTGAGTGGAACTGCACAGAAAAAACGGTTTAGTTTAAGGGGAATCTGTTCCGATCTTCATGATGTGATTGTGTTGGCGGGGATCCAGGAGCTAGGGCAGCACCCAGAACAGAAACTGGAATGAACTGGATGCTGACGGGGATTCATTTCCGACGCGTTTGAAGGCGCCTGCCAAGCTTGACTCAGCATAGCTTACCTACCGAGCACATACACCAGAGCAAGAAGCCCCTCACCACTTCAAAGCCTTCAGATGCAACTTGACAGCTTTCTAGCTGCTTTCTGGGCGCAGGAAGGCGAAGTTACGCTTCCTTGCAGTGGTGAGGTGGTGCGGGCTTTGCTGCACCTCAGCTGACCTGTGTGCCCACAGTAGGCAGACGATGAACGAAGTAAGGCTCCGAAGCCGTTCTTTGCCACCTGCAGGTGAGTCTTGAATGTGCCATTTGCTAGCACTCGCACGCACAGGGCCTGGGCCAGTTGTTTGCAGGAGCACGGCAAAAAAGAGTAACAGGTAGAGTAGCAGAGTCAGTAGAAATCGCCTTCGCTACTTGACTGAGCTTCAGGAAGCACTGCTACGGGCTGTTCCCTGACATCCGCGCCCTGAAAGTTCAGGCTGCAGTGGAGTGAAAATTCTCGACACAAGTTCAAGCAAGCGAGATGGGGCCCGGCCAGGACGTGGTATCCCTTGTGGAACAAGCTCATGCCTTGGAGCTGACTTCCTTATCTGAGGACGTGTGTGTACTGGAGCCTGGTAGTCATTGAGTACATATTGCTGTCGCCACTGTTTCTGTTTCATCCGACAGATTCCCGGCAGGATGCTGCGGTTGCTGCCACGCAGTGCTTGACCCCGGAGACAGTTGTCCCTCTGATGCGAGGCTGGTTTGGTTGTTGATGCTGCAGAGTGGGATGGGGACATCGCCTTCCTGTTTCGGCCGGGGTGTTGTGATTTCAAGCTAACTAGACGTCCGATGGAATCCCGCGCAAACTTGTTTGCCGTTCTTCTGCCCGCCCTCATCCCCAACAGCGGCTTTAGCTTGAGACCCCTACAAGGTGAGGATTGACACTTGCAAACACACAAGTGGATAGCAGACAGGGTCACATGTTTATTGGCCTTGTGCTTAACTTACTATCAACAACCAAATGTTGCATGTTCGAGTTCCCTGTGCATCGTTTTGGTAGCTTGTTTTAGCTGTTTTGTAAAGACACACATGCCTGCTTCTTATGCAAAGACGCAGACCACCCTGTCGTTTGTCTATGATGCAGCAACATCACGTGTTTTTCAAATCTATCTCTTTGGTGCCTGTGGTACCTGTGAAGGAGTTGCCACCGAGACTTTGAACTCACTCTTTCGGAGATCCGGGGATATGCTCAAGGTCAGACATGACCGTGAACAAAGTGGTAGACCTTCGTTTCCCCGCTCTCGACAGTCGTAATGCTGCACAGTCGGCCGACGTCTTTCGCCTCATTTTCGAGCAGAAAGACACCTGCATTCAGCTACGATCGACCGGATGTATGCACTGCACAGCTTTGCGAGGACTTATGCCATGTAACCCTGAAGGCTTTCGGTCCCTTTTTTCACCCGTGGCAGTGCCTTGCACCAGGCCTGCGCGCGTTCTACAAAGCCGGGTCGCTGGTTGAAGAGTGGGACAACCTGGTGCGACAGGTGCGTGCAAGACAGGACAGCCCTGCAGCTGCGGCCAGAAGAACTTCTTGACACATCGAGACAGTCGGGAGCCTTGGCTCCTGTTGACTGCACCGAGCCAAAGCCAAGTTCCTTGTATATCTTATGTAGGTTCGGAAAGAAGTGGGACAGAGTGAATGAATACTTTGTAGAACCGAGGAAGTTAACAGTCAGCCAGTTATCCCTGGATGCTGCACAAGTTCCACCGTCATGCAGGACCTGTCGCATGCTGCTCTTCTTGGGCTATGACCCTGCGCTGCTGGCAAAGAACTCAACCAGTTTGCCTTGGGCTCTGTGGACGGCAACACTGTGGCTCGTGTGAGCTTGGGTTTGCATGCTCTGCTTGGTTTTCATACCTTTCCTGTGTTGTTCTGATACCAGGGCTTCACTCAGATGACCTCGAACTCCCGCATGTACAGATTTGGGAGACGGTAGAAGCGCATGCAGCAAAAACCGCGCATCTCACCGGCATTCTTTGTCTATGACCAGACGTTCCAGTTTTCTTACAGCTCATGGGCAAACAACTGGGTGAGCAGGATCATGTGTCTCCTTCCATATTGTCGACAAGTCAAACTGAAGTAAAATCACGACAAGTAGGATCTAGAACGCTGACAGATCAGGGTGAGATGATGAGCAATTCCGGCAGCTTTCCAGCCCTGCCATATTTGCATGGCTGGTACTACGCCAACCATCTCATCGTGGCAGTGGCCTGCGACGAGCGCCGGGTGAGGACTACGAACGCGTCCAAGAGGGCGTCCTGTCCAGCGTTTCACAGACAACCTCGTCTAACATCCCGTGCTTTGCATGGAGCAACAAGGCAAAAACTGTTTCGCCGTGCTTGCTTGCCTTGTTGCGCCGCAGTCTAGGGGAAAATGACAAATACCGAGCAGAGCTTTTTTCGAGGGATAACCTGGTGCGCCAAGTCACTTCTGGTTGTCGTCGTGATCCTGGTCTCAGGCTCAACCCAACCCCCATCCTTGCAGACGGTCCGCGAACTTGCGCGTGGCCTCGCATGGCGATGACACCCCGACGTGTGCTTCTACTGCTGTGCAACTTGGCGATCTAGCGGATGGGTCTTGTGGCATGAAGCGAATTCCTTCCGGGTCGAGCTGTAGTCGAGCTCGACAGGCGTGCTGCCATGATGGTGGGCTCGTAGATGGCACAGATATTTACACGGTGTTACAGGATTTTACACAACCAGTTTGCAGATCTGTCTCAGGCACCACGGGAATGTGTTTGGCTGCATCCTGCCGTGCAGACGGCGAGGCACCCTAGTGAGCCCTAATGTTGTGGCTTCGGCTTTGCTAGACTGCACGAGGGAGAACATCGTGTGACCTCTCAAGTCGATAGCAGGATCGGAAAGTCTGAGCACTGCAGCTCAGCTGTCGGCACAGATCCATTGCACCAAGTCCCGTCAGGCTTGTGACTCCGAGGACCAAGCACTTCTTCAGCACGATAGCAACCCCAGGACTGCCTGAGCGAATCCAGCCCTGCAATTGATTTGTCAAGAGAGGCTAAGAGGCAGCAGCATCCTTGAAATAGCTTCCCGGAGCTATTTGCAGCAGAAGAGCACAGCAGGAGTCTGAGCAAATAGCCCGGTTGTCGTTGATTTGCAGTCGCATAGTTCGTAGATGGGCCACTGATGTGGGGTGAGCCCAGAAAGAAGAAGTGCTTGCCGTGGCTAGTCTACGTGTTTGTCTACTTCATCGGCAGGTTCAACATCCTCCAGGTCTCCCAGACAACAGTGCGAAAGGCCAAACGATGTGCAAACGAGCACTGCCCTCTGCGCTGTACGTCGAGGTAGGTGGAGGTGGACAACTGGCACTCCTCTCATGCCTCCGAGGTACTTTACAAAGCTCGCATCTGCCAACCTTTCCAGCGATTACAGGCCTCTTTCTCGATCTGGAGCATTGGTCTAGACTGGAGAAACTAGGGCTAGATACCGGGAGAGGGAGAAGTTCACATGTCGTAGAACGTGGTCGGGGCAGCTTCAGTGTCCTTCAGCTTATCTTTCGCATCTCTCCAAAGCCCCAAACACTAGGAAGGTGTTTAGCGGCCGAGGGACCGAACCAGTCCCTGAAGCCTCAAGCCCCGGAGAAGAGATACTAGGCAAACCTGCTAGTGAGCTTTTCCTGGCTTTTCCTGCGCGCGAGAACTAGGCAATAGGCAATAGATGTTTTGGTAACGGAAGAGTTCACGCGACATCGCGCAACGGTTCGGCCCAATGTGCCAGACCGTTGGCAGTTCCCAGGCATGAAGGCATCTGGCTCGAGGCATAGGTTGACTCCAGGCAAGCATCACTCCCGCTTGACCAATAACCCACGGAGAAGATTGAGTCGTGGAATGCCTTTCTGACCTGCAATCATCATGCTAATATTGTTCAGTTTTAGTTAGAGTCGAGGCTCCACGATGGGATACTGGAAAGGCCATGACGCAACTGTCAAAGCTCGGCCAATTGTCGAAGCCTGTGGATTTAGCAAGACTTACTACTTCCAAACTTCGAAGACAACCTCAGAACTAAGAAATATGCAATTCGGGACAGCAAACGGTGAAAGAGATCACCTAGCAGTCCTGGTCCTGGCCCTAAATGCCCAAGAACCATTCCAGGAGCACCCTTGCAACTGCTTAGGCCACGCCATGAGTCCAAAATTCTCTCCACACCGTGGTGGGAGTATGTTTTGCACCGCAGAACTGAGAACAAGAACGGCACATGGCGACACAGCGGTATTGTGGCGGGAGCACGATTTCGGGAAGCGGGAAACGCACAGGGGAAGACGATTTGCACCCAGAACACGCACCGTCGAGGGAGTACAACCACTTAGCACGGCTCTGGTGATTTCCAGACCACGTCGACTGGGGCGGGAGCACGATTTCCACGCAAAATCTGACCACGGCTCTGGTAGCGAAGCGAGATGTATTGCATTTGCGTTTTTCGGCGGACCAGGCCGCAGCAGGCCAGGATTGGAATGATTATATGATATGGTTTTGGATCTGCCTCCCGCCACAACGGGAGCTGTGCAACAACCACATCCCTTCACCCTAAGTGTAAGAGACCTGTGAGAGCCAGAAAAAGCATGAGAACCGGTAATGTTACGAATAAGTGTCACTACTTTTTTTATCTCCGAGTTCCTGCGCGATGTGAGGCCGTGGAGATATCGTAGGATGCCGGCAAGCGGCTTCCTGCTTGCACTTTGCAGCTTCGGGTTGTATGCTCACTTGTTTTGTCTCATGTGCAAGTACCAGGTTAACTGACCTGACTTTCTTGGTTGCTACTTTCACTGGCTCTGCGACTGTAACAGCACTAACGTCGCAAACTTCGAGAATTATGATGATTAGGATGATGGTGATGGTGGCGTTGGTGGGGACAGTGTTTATATATATATATATATGTTGTTGCAGCTGGTGCTTGCCACAACGACCTCTTATGCAGCGGATGTAGAGCCAAGTCTCGCCTTGAGCTGAGGACGCAACATGGTGATCGGTGCGGGCATGGGCACCACGGGCACGCACAGCACCTTAACTGAAGGCAGTGCAGTTATAAACCACCTCTCTAAGGAAGGTCGCTTGTCAAGAACGCAGAGGCTTAAGGTCAGCTCCGAGCCAAGGTGTGGTGGTCGCTTTGGAAGAGCTCGGACTGAAAGGACATGACACATTGCATGAGCAAGCAAAGTCCGAGGTTTTGCACCCTGAAGCTTCTTCCGGGCTGCGCGCAGGATACCATTTCAAGGATGCGCGAGCGTCGGCCAACGAGCACGCCAAAGAGCATGGGCTACCGGACTACGTCGTCCCGATTGTCGAGCAGCTGAAGCAAAATACGACTGCGTGTGTCTTGATTTGCAAGACCGGAACTAGGCACCGGACACCTCCATCGTCAACACATTGGATTGGATTGTTTTGCGAGAACTTTGCAACAGCTTTAAGCTTGAATATTGTGCAGCTGCGCTTGTCTTGGATTAGATTTTTATCACTCTGATCCTGTCCGGGTTGGTGTCGGCAGACTGCCCGTGCTTCTCTCCCGCGCGCTGTAGGCTATGGTGCCATCGAGACCTTTGACTTCAGCACACTTCCCGACAACGTCGAGTATGCCTCTTGGCCCGATTGCTCTAGAACCGACATGACCACTCGAGCAGTGCGTCCTGGCCGAGCATGAGCGATGATGCGGAGTAGCGAAGTTCCACGCCACGGCACCTGGTTGACCAGCAGGTGAGTGACACACCCTTCACGGAGCTTTTCCTGGACATTTACACGCAGTTCCCCACGGCCAAGGTAGTGCTGACAACGAGGCATCAGAGTACAGCTTGTGAGCAGGGAAAGCTGGCAGCATGGTCAGTGGTTGTAGCAAGATCAATCGATGGCCGCCCGCTTCGCGATTGCCCTTGTCTGATTCGCAGCCTGCGGGTCGTAGTGGACTTGCATCTTCCCAGAACTCGTACCGCTAGACGGCGGTGACAGCAACAGCAGCAGAAGCAGTGGCAGCAGTCCCTCCGCCGGCCGAAGAAACAGCATAAATGAGATAGTAACAAGCCCTGACAACGGCAAATTATCGAGTCTCTCGCCTCTAGTCCCTGTAGCTTCTGTAGTGGTTCTTTTCGGTGTCTGACGAAGTGTTAGACGGCCGCGCGGCTGACAGACCTCTGAGTCCGCGAGAGAGAGAGAGAGAGACAACGGCAAATACCACGACAACAACAACCGCAACAAAATATATAGCAGCAGCAGCAAGAAGCAGCAACAACAACAACAACAGCACCAGCAATAACAGCCACAACAACAACAGCACCACAACCACGACAACAACAACAACAACAACCGCAACAAAGTAGCAGCAACAACAACAACAGCAACAACCACAACCACAGCCACAGCCACAGCCACAGCCACAGCCACAGCCACAGCCACAGCCACAGCCACAACCACGACAACAAACTAGAAGCAACAGCAGCAACCAGACACTATCAAGAGCAGCACAGAACACATCGGCAACAAGTAAGAGCAGATTGCAGCAACCAAGAGCAGCAATGGCCGTCGCGCAGTAACAGCTGCAGCAGCAACAGCAAAAGCAAGCGGCAGCTGTGAGGAGGGACAAGCAGCGACATCTTCAGTACTTCTCCCGCCAAACCTGGCGTGAATTAGTCCCCCCATTTCTGTGTTCTGATATTGAGGCTCTTTATGTTTTCTGGCGAGGCCTAGCCTGGATTGGGCGAAGAGCCGGAAAAAGCATGCGAATTCCCCACCGCCGGTAGCTGCCTCAGAGTTTCAGTCCCAGGCCTTGCCATGAGACACTAGCAAGATCTTGTTTGTTATGCCAGCACCTGCTCTTGTGTGGCAGGGGAATTCACGTCTTTGCAGTATCATTCTTTCTTTGAGCTTGGGGTTTCTTCTGGTCTCTCCTTGGTCTCTGCCGTGCTTCCCAGGTTCTTAGGCCGTGCGGCCTGGCAGGTGTGAAAGATTACGCAGAAACAGATCTTGATGCTTGCTTGCATGAAGGACCCTAAATCCCGACCTAAACCCTGAACCCTACAGCTGCACTACGAGGGAAAAAACTGCAGCGCAGCTTTGCTACGCTTTGATTGTGTTTGATTTCTGGGCAAACCACCACTTTGGGATACACGGGATCGCGACTCCGTGACAGCTCAGGCAGCCATGTTGGACTCTTACAACGACCTGGTTAGATGTGTTGTCCCTCCGGGAAACCTGCTGGAGCACCGACCTTGGACGAGCAAGAACTCTTTGGATCATGTTTTCGGGGTAGTTGTCGGGCCAGGCGGTGCTGTGTGCTAGACCCACAAGATTCTATCAATTATATTTTGGGCAAGGAGGTGCTGCTTAAATCCGAAGGGCTGTCCTGTAGGATCAACGAGAAAAGAGGTAGCACATGGCTAGCAATTATATAGATGCTAGAGCCGCCGCCTGCGCAGGGTCGACTTGTTTCAAAACGGAACCAACCTCACGGAGACGTTGGCCTCCTTCCTGGACAACAGACTAGAAGGCACGGGACCGTGGAGCATTGCAGGAATTACAATGAACCTTGTGCTCGCCAGGACGGGTGGAGCACTCCAGGGCCGTCAACGTGAAGAAACATACAGTTTGAGTAGTTCAGCTTCTGACATTTTTGAACGAGTCTGGACTGAAGGACTGTTGAGCGCTCGCGCGCAAGAGATATCAGTCCTGTTTCTCGCAACTGTCCTCCGAAGGAGGCATTTCCTTCCCAATTGCCAACTCGCAAGCCGGATGCTGTGTGACAGCTTCATCGTTCCCGAGAAGTGTGAAGGCAACATCCTGGATTACATCAACAAGTAAACGCAACGCGGCCTGTTGATGTGGTTTTGAGATCGCATTTCTCGTGAACAACCCTACCTCCTCTTCGAGAGAGGAGTGTAGCTTTTGGCGAGTGTATGTTTTTTTCCCGTTACACAAACTAATGACTCCGGGCATTCCTCGCTCTCAATACTCACAAAGGATTTCTTTCAATACATTTAAGACCCTTTTGGATATGAGTGAAACATTCAGATATTTCATAGCATTTCTAGAAAAAAGACCCAGCATATATTCCGAAGACACGAGACACAGATATATTCCAAAGACGCATTGAGAAAATATTAAGGGGGGGACGTGGACGCTTTACGAAGACGCATTAGAATATTGAGAAGAGAATTATATATTCACGATGTTTGATTGAATATAATTTTTGTAAGATTTGTCTAAGATTTTACCTTGATCGATATAAGTAGGTAGGAGTCCGGATTCTCAGGTGGTATGCGACCTAATTTTCGCGGATCTATTTGTATTATTCGAGAGTTACAAGAAATGATTTTTTATTTATCGTGTGCGTTAGAATATTTTTAGACGAAATGAATAGGTTATGAAGATTAAGGCATATGAATATATATGATTAGAATGAGGAGCTATCTATTATTCTTAGAATTCGAAATAAATGAAAATATTTAGAATAAAAAAAGAATCGTATTAATTTCATCTAAGATTATATCTGTGGAAGTTAGCATAGCGAGAATTCTGATTTTAACTTAATTGATATTATAAATTATTCTCTACTTATTTATTAATATAATTTAATATCTTAGAATTTATAAAAATTTCGAGAAATATATAAGATTATATATAAGAAATTTGATTTATGCATTAATTTGTCATAATTCTAATTGAGATATTTTCTTTATTTATTTATATCTGATTTCTTACCATTAATTATAAGATATTTCCATAAATTCTAAATATATATTTATGATATGATTATTTGCCTAATATAATATTTTTCT